TCAACAGAAGGGGCCACAACAAACCGAGAAGAAGAGAGAAACGAAAGCACCCAGTCCAAAGACCAGGATGGCTCAGGAGCTACATGAGCAGGCCGAAGGTGAAACAACGCACGATACAGCTTGTGGAACGTGGCAGAAGTAACATCAACACCGAAAGCAAGCTGAAACGGCTCCGCCAATGCCGCACGATACGAGGCAACAGTGTTCGGTATAAGATGATGGTCCTGGAACAACCAAGAAAGGACAAAACAACCCTATCAGAGACTGAAGAACACCTACACAGTGATAGGAAAAAATGGAAGGACCGCCAAGAAACTTCATACTGTCGCCGAGACAAAGCACGCAGGTGGGAGACCAATAATGATGCCACCTGCACACTATACAAATGATGATAAACTCAAATAAAAAACACCAGACGCGAAGACTCGAAGAGAAGAATGAACCAGCCTCATACCGGGCTGGACTGATCTGCTGAAAGAGGCGGAGCCGCGGGAAGACCTTCGGATTCGGACACCGAGAAAGCAGCGCCTGAAACCAAGGCTGGGCCAGCCACCAAGGAGCCAGGACAACTCCTCCCTGGTAAGTCTCCAAGCGAGCCAGGACCTGGAGCAACAGCTGAATCGGGGGAAAGAGCTATATGTAACCCCACTTCGCTGAAAGGCATCGACCCCGATGGCCTCGCAGTCAGGGAAGGGCGCCACGTATACTGGGAGACGCTTCGACCATGCCAACATGATGAGATCCACTTCCGGAGGCCAGAACGTCTAGCAGAGCCAACTGAACGAACTGGCGTTGACCATCCATTTCCCCGTCTAGCTGGACGGGGGAATGAACCGGGACAGGCTGTCCGCCAAGATATTGGATACCACTTGAACGTGAACCGCCAGGAAAGCCAAACCCCGAGAACTCAGCAGACGAGTCACCCGAAGTGACCAGCCCCAAAAAGCCAAGGACCGCATGGAACCCTCGCAGTTCAGGCAAGGAGCCACCAGGGACCAGTTCGAATGGAGCCTAATCTTCGATCTGCGAGCAACCCGAACCCTCCTGAGCGACATCCACATTGCCGCAAACTCCTGCACCGTGCTGTGAGTCACCTCGCCGGCCAGGGGCGGCGAGGTAAGCACTGTTCACAAAGCCCCAGCCAAGAGATGACGCGTCCGTGAACATATCTAGCGAGGGCTCGGGTAGGTGCCAAGTCACTGAACCCCGAAAAACCCGAAGAGGAAGCCGGCGATGCAGCAGCTGACATAAGACCCCTGGGCGTCGAACCCAGCGATCGCAAGAGAGGGGCGAAAGAGACGTCCTCGAATGAACCAGAACAGCCAACGAAACCACACCCGACCTGGCGAGTAGACCAACATGGCAAAGTTCAGGCTCCTGCAGAAACTCTCGAGCAACCGCCATGTGACCCGGTAGCCCCTCAGGAACAGACGCAGGCGAAGCAGAGCCGCCAGAGGAAGAGACAAAGAAACGGTACGAGCAGCCCACCGAAGACCCAGCCAAGACCGAACCTGAGAGGGAACCAGATAGGACTTCCTCCAGTTCACCAAGAACCTGAACCCGGCAAGCTGGGAAAGGACCAAATCCCTGGCAAGCAGACATGCCGACTGGCTGGGAGCCCAAAACTGCCAGTTGTCGAGGTAGACCAGAACCCGAACACCTAACAGACGCAGCCGGGCCACCATGACCCGAGTAAGGCAAGAGAACAAGCGAGGCGCCAGATTTAAGCCGAACAGAAGGCAATGAAAGCGGTAAGCTTGACCCCCCCACAATAAAACCGAGCCAGTCCCTGAACCTCGGATGAACCGGAACCTGCCAATATACGTCCTTGAGGTCCAGGGACACCATCTAAGCGCCTAGCTCCAATAGAAGAAGGACCTGGAACAGAGTAGTCATCCTGAAGGAGGAGCAATAAACCCACGGGTTCAGGCGGGACAAGTCCAGAATGAACTGGAGGTCCGCGCAGTCCCGTTTCGGAACTGGAAACAGATGTGAAACCTACCTGAGGGACGAGGTTGTTTCGACCATGCCCAAGCGAACCCACTCCGAGATGACTTGACAAAGCGCAGGAGAAGAGGCCTGCCCTGCGAGCCCTGAGCCTCCCCCGAGGGAGGAAGAGCCACTCAACGCCATCACAGGCCGCACAAAATGACCCATAAAGCCCACAAATCATGGGACCAGGTGCGAGTGAACAGAGCGAGCCTCCCCCCCAATTGCCCCGTCAATGGGACGAACCACGAAAGGGATGACGCACCTTACGAGAACCTAAGCGGTGCACAGGGCAATCCCCGCACCGACCAGAAACAGACAGAACCGAAGGCTGCGCTTGCCCCAAATCTGGCACCACTGGCCTACCATGACGGAAGGAACCCCAAGCCCTGGCACGACCTTTACGGGAAGGCCCCCCACGAGCTCCAAGGAATACCAACAAGTCCGACATAGGCTGACAACTAACCGAAGCCGCCTGCAGATACTGCACCACCGCAGACTCTGCAAACAGCAACAGACAAAAAGGCGAGGACAACCTAAGAGCCAGGGCCCACGCGGATTCCAAGGAAGACGTAAGCACCGCCTGCCGACACGCGAGGCGAGATGCATAAAACCGCGAAACTGCATTCCGCAGGAGCGGCACGAACAGCTTCAACAAGGCAGAAGACACCTGCACTGCTGAGGGCAGTGCACCCGACCCAGCGGCGGCCCCAGCGTCCCCACACTCAACTCAAGCCAATCCGAGGAGGGAAAAGAAACACAGGGCCGTAGCCAGCAGGCCACGAGTACGCAAATCCTCCATAACCAAGGCAGCCAAAGGGAGGGAACCTGCACATGAAGCTGTATCACACCAACATCCCGCGAAAGGGCAGGGGCGAACAAACACGCATTAAGGTGCTCGAACTCGCCCTCCCAGGAAAACCTGCAACACTGTCTGAGCATCCTTCCACTCAAGCGTGCAGGACAGACAGAACGTATGCCAAGCCGTGAGCTACATCCTCCAGAGCAAAAGAACTCCCCCAGAAAGAAAACAAACAAGCAACACTTAATCCAACTAGCCCCTGCTTATTAGTGCAAACCCCTTTCCGTGCAGGAGGACGGTGAGCCGGCAACCCACCAATCCAGTTCTAGAATGATGAAAGCCGCCGACCAAAGGAAGGGGCGGGTGTTAGGGAGCCTCCGGGGCTCAGTGCAGATGTGTGTGTCTTTGATGTACAGGCTGACCCCACCCTGTAGTCTGTATTTCCTGTCACATCTGAAAAGACTGTACTCTAGAAATGATATCCACATTTCACTATCATAGTAATCTTTTGTGTGAGTTTCAGATAAGGCTGCAAACACTGCATTTGCCTCATTTAGGAGGCCAGCAGTAAAGTGGACTGTTTGATTTGCATGTTTTTATACACTGAATGTTGGCAAATATAAATGATGTTATCATATTTGTAGAAGTGCTGGATGTTTTACAAAATGTTAATATCTGGGGGTTCTGGTAAGAGCTAGAGCGCCTGACAGCTGAATGAACAGCGCTTCGGATTCGTAGTCTTGAGGTTCCGGGTTCGATCCCAGGTGGAGGCGGAGACAAATGGGCAAAAAGTTTATTTCACCCTGATGCCCCTGTTCACCTAGCAGTAAACAGGTAACTGGGAGTTAGGCAGCTAATACAAGCTGCTTCCTAGGGGGGTGTAACAAAAAGGAGGCCTGGTCGAGGACCGGGCCGCAGGGATGCTAAGCCCCGAAATCATCTCAAGATAACCTCAAGAAGAGGGCCACTATGCTTGTGTCCTCCTTCCTTTGCATTTGACCAAGTTGGTGGTAGAGTCTACATTTTTAGCCATTCTTCTCCTCTTCCTCTTGCTAAAAATCTTCCTGGTACAATACTGTATGTAGAGTTGTCGCAGTTTTCATAGCGACTTTTTTTTTGGTTTTATGAACCTTGTTCCTCTTATATGAAAGGCAGGATAGTCTCTGTTGAAACATTATTTCTTGTTTAAAGAGCTCTTACAAAGTTCTGGGTGGAAAAATTGCAGCTTCTGAACATTTTCCTGTGCTAAGAATATTCGTACACTTTCTATGGTGATCACATTTGCATGTTCCATTCGTTTTTCCGGATAACCCATACAGTATTTACATACAGCATATCCCATTTGCAGTAATGATTGGTTTTGGGCTCTTGTTTAATTTGTTGCTCTTGGCTTGACCCTGACATTGAGCCCTTTGACTCTGGCATTGTCAGCACCAACTAGCAGAAGATGAACTGACTATGGAAAGAACATGCAACCCAGAACATGGTCCCAAAGGCAAAAACACCAATAAAAAATGAGAAATCAGAGCCAAAGAAACGACGGCTACCAGGCACACACATCAGTCTAAAACAGATTGATGTCGGGCCTGCCTGACCCTGGGCCGGTTCTCTCCTCTCCTAAGCAAGGAGGTAGAACAAACCAGTTGGGGGGGGGGCTAGTTTAAAAAATTTTTGTTTATTTTCATTCTCGAGGAGTTCTTTTGGCAATTTTGGGGCTGCAGTCTCTTTTTAACCATGCAGTGGTCTGTTTTGATTCACTTATCTTTCTGGGTGCCTTCCCTAGGTGATGGCAATAATGATAACTTTTAAATGTAAAGTGCTCATAAGCTATCGCTCCCTGTGCCTCTGTGAGGGGACCAGGTTCTGGCTCGTGGTCCCTGGTAGGCATATATGACTCCATGACTGATGGCAGTAAGTAGTATGGCACTGACATCACCAAGTATGATGTATGATTGCTTCAGGTAGCCTCTGGGGCTCACCCAGTAACTGGCGTTTCATTACATTCAACGCTGGTTTTATAACTTTTGCATTTTGTATGAAATGAATTCTCAGTAAGTTGCCATTCATTTGCCAGCTTCCCAATAAAACATTATCATCAGTACGTAACAATATTCCTATCCTCCACTCCTATATCCTTGTCTCATCCCACTACTCCACCCAGGCTATTAGCTTGGACAAAATACTAAACAAAAGCAAATAGGAAACTTACTGACTAAGTACAGAGAAAGGATGAAGAGACAACTCTGGATCAAGACTTGATGTACTCTTAATGGAGGGTACAGATGCTTCATCCATGCCTGGAGCTGAAGCCCCTCCAGCTCCACCATGCTGGCTCCCACAATCATCAACCCACCAATCACCGATGCTCTCCCGCCTTGACCTTTGCACGCATCATAAAAGAAAAATGTTATTATAAGAGCATACTCTGAGAGTTACAGAAAGCTAGTGAAGTGCATGAGAGAACGATGTTGAAGGTGAATATCATCATCATTATTACCCTATTTCCCAGTATCACTGGATGGGAGCATCATCCCTTCGAAATGTGATAAATATAGTATTGATACTTACATTATTTCTTATGAACTGTCATAAAACCAGCGTTACATGTAGTGAAATGCCATTTTCTGAGGTGAGCTCCGTCGGCTCCCCTCCGCTATATTACTCCAGAGCATCAGTTAATTGGAGTTTTTTGCCTACTGGGAACCACGAGCCAGAACCTGGTTCCCTCAGAGATATGCAAGGAGCAATGGCTTATGAACGCTCCACTTATTGAGAGTATATTCATGTCTACCATCGACCGGGGGTATCATCCATAAAGGTAGGTGAACCATTACAAACCCCTACTGGTAAAGCATTGCAACCCAAGACCGAACAGAGTCCAAGAACTCTCCCCAAGAGGAAACAACAAACGAGCCAATCCAGTCAACTAGCACACCTGCTCATTAACCCCCCTCCTTGGAGGGGCGAGGGGGCCCCCTGCCCCAGTGGCCCAAGTGCTCAGTGACACCGGCAGTTTGTTGACTGATAACAAACCGCCGACTGGAGGGAGGGAGGGGTGTCAGGAAGCCTCTGGGGCTCAACCCAGAAAATGGCATTTCATTACATTCAACACTGATTTTCTGAGATGAGCTCCATCGGCTCCCTGAACCAATATACCCACACATAAGTAGAGGGAGTTACCTGGGAGGTGGCAGCATCGTGTGCCTCATGACAAAGATGGGACAACTGGCTGCCACAAAGCCACATAAGGCCGCTGAGAACCCGGAACGGTAACAAGATAATGGGCGGCCAGGACCCTGTTCAACCTCTAAAACCCAAGTTCGATCTCCCAAATGTCAACCCAAGACATGTTACTAAAGACCGCAGGTTGGATAAACTTGATAATCCTATAGACAACCTGAGAGACTGGAGCCCCTGGAATGAGGGAATGAGGGACATCGAATCTACCCAAAGCACGTCCACAGATCCAGAACCAGAAGCATGCAGATAACGGCGAAGAGCCACAACCGGATACAAAACATGATGCACCCCGGCCTGACTAACCAAGCATCACAATAATGGACCCCTCCAGAAGCCCGCCATCTCATCCTTCACCAGAAAAGAAGGAGACGGCTGCAAACGAACAAAACGCCCCCAAGGCCAAAGGAGCAGCAACCTCGGCACCAGAGAAGTGCAAGAAGCCACCCCCCAACCCAACCCCCCAAAAGCAAAGTCAACAAAAATCCAGTGTTGAATGTAATGAAACGCCATTTTCTGGGCGAGTCCCGGAGGCGTCCCAGAGGCTCCTCGGAGCTATCCAGGCTGAATGGATATGTATAACTTTCTGGCATCAGTCAAAGTGCTAGGAGTTCTTGCCTACCGGGGACCACGAGCCAGAACCTGGACCCCTCAGAGAGGCACGAGGAGCAATGGCCTATAGAAACCCCCTTGTGATTGGGAGCATTCTATGTCTGCCATCGACCGGGACAGGCACCCAGAAAGGTAAGCGCCCCAAAACAAACCCCCATTCTGGTGAAAATATCGCTACCGAAAGCCGAACGAGTGGACAGAACTCCCCAAACAAAATTATCAAACTAGCATGACGTCATCACGTCGCAGCGCCACCCCCCCCCTCCCTGAGAGGGGGAAGGGGGAGCCCCAGACCCTCCACGCCGGCAATCCAACTGGCAGTTCTTAGGCTGGATGTCAAAATACGCAAAAAACGCCGCCGACCGGAGGGAGGGAGGGATGCCGGGGAGCCTCCGGGAATCACCCAAAAAACCAGCGTTGAATGTAATGAAACGCCATTTTCTGGGTGAGCCCCAGAGGCTCCCTGGAGCTTATCGGGCTAATGTATGTTATATTAGACCGAGACATTAGCTAAGGAGTTCAGACCTACCAGGGACCAGCGCCAGAACCTGGCCCCTTCAGAGAGGTTTCAGGGAGCAATGGCCCTGGAAAACCCCTTTGTGGTTGGGGTTTACCTTATCTGCCATCGACCGGGGTTAGGCACCCAGATAGGTAGGCATAACAAAACAAACCCCACATCATAAAAAAATAAAACAAAAAAACGAACAAAGAGGTAGAAACTCCCTACAATCACTAGGAAACAAGCAAACATCACACTATATTGCCGCGCCAATCGTCCGTGCAGCTCTCCCCGCCCCGAGAGGGGGAGGGGGGAGCCCCGGACCTACTGCACCGGCTGCCAAGCTTCAGTTCGAAAGCTAAGCTTCAACCAACGCGAAAAAACAGCCGATCGGTGGGAGGGAGGGTTGCCAGGGAGCCTCCGGGGCTCACCCAGAAAATGGCGTTTCATTACATTCAACGCTGGTTTTCTGTGGGGAGCCCCTACGGCTCCCTGGAGCTTCATACCCAAAGAGAAGGAAAAGAAGGGGCCAACCCGGGAGGCGGCCGCCACAAACTCTGCAACGCAAAGCCGAGACAACAGGTCGCAACCTGCGACCCAAGGCAACAAGAACGCACAGGAGCAGACGCGCATAAAGAATGGGCGGCCAAGAACCTGTGCGACCCTCAAATCCCTGTGCCCGAAATGAGCCAAAGACAGACCGCAGGCTGGAAGAATGAAAAACTCTGCGGACGACCTGGGAGACCCGAGCCCTGAAAACAGGGAACGAGGGGAACCGGATCAACCACAGCGCATCCCCAGACACGGTACGCAGGCAACGGCAAAAAGTACAACCGGACAACACAGGACGCACCCCTGGCCAAACCAATCAAGCATCAATAACCCAAGAACCCCTCCGGAAAGCAGCCGTCTCGACCGTCGCCAGGACGGAGAAAGGCTGCACACGTACAAATCTACCACCAGTACCAAAGAGCAGAAACCTGAACCGAAGGGGCTACCACAAACTGAGGAGAAGATAAGAAGGCACCCTGATCAAGGACCAGGACGGCTTAGGCGATGCATGAGCAGGCCGGAGGTGAAACAAAACACGAGAAAGCGTACGAAATGTCATACTGTCGCCAAGACGAAGCTCGCAGGTGGGACACCGGCTACAAAGCCATCTGAACACCACAGAGATGGTGATACCTGCGTCAAATTACCAGACGCGAAGAGCCGAGGAGAAGGCCGAACCAGTCACGTACAGGACCGATTCGACCTGCCGAAAGAGGCGTAGCCGCGGGAAAACGCCCCGGGTTCGGACACCTATCAAGCAGAGTCTGAAAATAAGGCTGGGCCGGCCACTAAGGAACCATAAGGACTGCTCTCGTGGGAACGGGCTGCAACCGAGACAGAACCCGAAGCAACAGCTGGACCGAAAGAAGAGGAACAGGTACCCCCACCTCGACCAGTTCTGCCGAAAAGCATCCACCGTGAATGCCTTGCAGGTGGGAAAGGGCGCCACAGAAAATGGGCGAATGCCTAGACCACGCTGACTTGAAGACGTCCATGGCCAGGAGTCCACACGTCCGACAGAGCCAACAAAACGAGTCGGCGACGACTGGCCAATCCGCGAAGAGAGGAATGAACCGAGACAGCTGTCCGCCAGGATGCAGGACACACCCCGGACATGAACCTCACGGTTAGCCAAACCCCTGTGGTTCCGGCAAGAACTGCCAGAGAACAGTCCGAACAGAGCTGAATGGTAGAGCACCGAGTGACCCAAACCCTCCGAAGCGCAAACCAGACAGCCACGAACTCCCGAACTGTGCTGTGAGCCCGACGGACGGACAGACTCCACCAACCTTGGCCGACCTGGTGAACACTGGACACAAAGCCCCAGCCGAGAGATGACCCGTCCGTGAACACATCGAGCGAAGGCTCAGGGAGGTGCCAAGGCACGGAACCCCGAAAACCCCAAAGAGGAAGCTGGTGACGCAGCACCAACACAAGATCCCTGGAGGAACGAACCCAACGAATGCAAGAGGAGGAAGGGGAGTCTCCGAAGGAACCAAACAGGCGCCGAAGCCAAACCTGACTCAGCGGGCAGACCAGCACGTCGAAGTTCAGATTCCCGCACAACTGCTCAAGCAATCGCTGAGCAACCCGGGACCCCCTCATGTACAGCCGAAGGCGGGACCACAGCCGCAGTAACACTTCTGGAGGGAAAGACAATGAGTGGCCCAATAGTCCTAAACAAGGCCCAGGTCCGAACCCAGGACGGAAACAGATGGAATGGCCTCCAGATCACCAGGAAACCAAACCTGGCGATCTGGAAAGAACCACACCCCTGGCGGGCAGACAAGCGGACTGACTGGGAGCCCACACCAGCCAGTCGTCGAGGTAGGCCAGACACCGAATCTCAGACTCAGACAGGGCACTAAGATCCAGTAAAGTTGCAAAAAAATATACCAAGTGCCCATTACAAAATAGGGAAGGCAACAAAAGCAGCAAGCCTGAAGCCCCACCACCAACTGTGCCAGTCCCAGAAAACTGGAGAGGAACGTGCCAAGAAGTGACCTGGAGGTCCAGGGCCACCATCCAGGCACCCGGCCCCAACAGAAGCCGTACAGGGGACAACAGTCCTCCGAGGAGGGCATAGAATCCAGGGCGCAGACTGAAGAAGTCCAGAAGAACTGCAGATGCGAAAGGCCCATGACTGCAAGGAGCAGTCGGGAACCCCAGAAGGATGGGGCGGATCGACCACGTCCAACGCACCCACTAAGATGACATGACGAAGCGCAGGGAAAGAAGCCCACCCCACCAGCTCTGAATTCCCCCCCCCAAAGGGGGAGAAGCCGTCTACCGACGCCACCAGAGGCCGGAAGACAACCAAAAGCCTCCACCAACAGCGGGACCATGCGAGAGTCAACAGAACAAGCTGCTCCCCCCCAGCGCCCCGTCAACAGAGACGGGAACAAAACCCCTTCCGAAAGAAAAAGTACACACACATATACACATTATGTATATACACATACATATACATATACACAAAC